ATTGTATAAGTTAAATCAACTTACAATATTATATCGAATACTTTCGGATGTTGGCGAAACTTTAACGATTATTGATTTCTTTTCCACAATCTTATGACCGCTTTGTTCACGCGAAAATTCAGCAGTAATCCTAATAATATCACAGAGATAGTTGTCACCCTTATTTGAGCCCGGATTCGAGAATATATCGATCACTTGAATTGAATTGTCGCTTTCCGATTTTCGCAGAATCTTCTCCACAAAGCATTGATTCAGCCATGATGATGTGTTTAGGGCCATTTCTGAAATTAGAATTGGAATTGGAATTAAAGAATTTCTCCAACCAAAATCATTATTTTTCTTGTTGTGTTCCAGAACACAAAACGTAAAAGCATTTCTTTGTAATTTATTGCTCGACACAAGATTTATCACGCTTTTTTTTCTTTTTTCAGGCACTTTCTATTTCTTTCGGCTTTTACACTCTTTCTTTTACCATTTTTCACTGTTTTGTTGATCTGCAGTCCGCGAGCAATAGAGATTAGAAAAGCGAACTGTAACTTCCATTCCACGATTAAAGGTAACACGTGAATTCGTTCGCAATTTTCTTTCTCCAAAAGAGAGTGGGAGATCCATACTGTAAAGGCAAAAACCTTTGTTGTGCGGCCAATCGAAAGTTTTAGTTTGGCCGAAAATTTTAGAATAAAATGTGACTCTTTGCCGCTTTCCGAAATTATTCTGTTTGCTAACAACCGGAAAAAGTGTGTATGTGTGTGGGTGTGTGCGTGCTATTATCTTTCGCCTAAATTTGAAATAATTATAAATCTATGAATCAGATAAACTAGATTAAACAGAATTTTAATAACAGATCATAACAGTATGCATTATTTAGATCATATTCGATAAAAACGTATGTACATATATTGTTATATGCATTGGTTAATATATGAATTTGACTAGTCTTTCTCAAAATTATATAACTCTGACATGTTAAAATTAATATTTAACATTACAAAAATAAGAATAACAACACGAAACGCAATTAAAGTCGATTTACTTGTACATAATAAGTTTAAACAAATATGTAGTGATATGTTTTGCTTAGATGAAGTGTAAAATGTACAGATTGTATACTTGCGATGAAAGAATGGCTTTATTAAAAAGTGAACATTACTTCATCATATCCACATCAAATTAAAATTATTGTATGTTTCCTATATTAATTGTCACTTTCTAGTTAGGTGCATTACTTTTTATTAATATTTTAAATACTAAAACTTTCTCGTATGTGTTTTGAATTTCATTAATATAGCCGTCAATATGTCACATCACATAACAAAATATTTTATTTTTGTTTAATTCTATCTTCTTTTATTCTATTTTGCCATTATTCTGTATGTTTCTTTCTGACCTTTCTGACAAATATTTATGCCAATTTTTTTACTTTTTTATTAAAACAGTGTGTAATTGAAAAAATGCTGGAGACATCAAAAGTTGATCTCAAGTCGCAGAGTCACGAAATTGTCGCTAACGTACCGTACATTTCAAATTTTCGAAGTTACTTTATTTAAATGCTGAATCAACGTAATGTATGTCAGGTTTTAATTTAAAATTCTCATCAATACAGTCCAAATGTACATCAGTTACACAAGAGAACAAAACTCGATAATAATTGGTACATTTACTTATAACTTGCTTGTGTTCGGTTTGATGAGTCGTTTACTTCACTTAAATATTCACTTTACTGAGCCGTTTCGTAAAGCCAACTGCAAATTAATTTAAATTACGATCCTACAACATTTATTTATGATCAAATAACTTACTCGTCTTCGATTTGATGAGTCGTTTACTTTACTTAAATTCTGACCTTACTGCGCCGTTTCGTAAAACCGACTGCATATGAAATTACGATTCCACAACGTCTAGGTATGATTTCACTTATTATTGCACGTGACAATTATTGCGAATACGACATTTAACGATCCGCTTATCACCATTCATTTATTACCGACAGATTTGCTGATTCATTTTGAGCTTTGGGAGAATGAATAAACGAGACGGGTCAACATTGAACTTATTTCGATTTGTCTATTAATAAAGCAGACATTAAGCTAATCGAGATAACAGAGCAATGATAAAATGATATCATGAGATCATATAAACTGCAAATGTGACAAGTAGCTGAATATGGCATGTATCATCTCACTTATTGTTAATACGATGGTAAGGAGCTTATTTCATTACAAAAACTGATAAACGTTTAAAGAAAATTATAAATAAATATATACACAGTATTGCACATTATAAAACAGATCTGACTTTGCTCGCGAACTAAACGCTTCCACGTCTCCGTTGTCTCATTGAGAAGAAACAAATAGAATAGACCTTAAAGCGTTAATTAACAAAACGATGGAGAGATGGAAGACTTTAATTCGGACACAATGTGTTAAATAGGCCTGATGTAATACATTGCGCAATATAGATTTCGCAGAAAAATGTTGCATAAAAATAATTTGATTTCAAGGACAATTTTCAAAATTAATTAATTAATTATTTTCCCTCGTTAATAATATTTCAAAACGCTTTTTTACATAATAATATTATTAATATCGATCTAAAGTACGTTTATTAAACATTTTTAACTTAACAATGTACAATAGATACATTTTAATACGCGTATTGTAAAATATGATTGTGACATATAAAACTAATTAACTGTGAACGCAAATGCTGCAGAAGAAAGTGGCCTATACATCTAATGCGTTTCTTTAAAATCTCTAAAATCTTTAGATAACAAATGACACTTTTGTTCTTCAACTATTGGCATGAATTGCTTCCTTGTTCATGGATTAAATAACGCAATCATAAATTCGCACAATAAACATTATGATGAACAATCGTAATACTGTGCAATCAATCATCATGCCTGTGATTAGCTTCTACTTTAGTTGCTTCTACCTTGATTTATTAAATTTGTTGTCATAATTGACGTGACATTGGAATAAATGGATAAAGAAATTTCGTCATATGATACAATAATATATTAATTATTTACTCTATATTTGAAATTTCGGCGTATTAGACTAATAAAAAATTTTCTTGTGATACAGTATAATTAATATTTATTGCTTCGTATTTGGTGACACATTTAGAACAGTGTGTAGGGAACTGCGAATCTATTGTATATTGGAAAATATTAAATAAATTTAACAATTATTTATCAATTACGGAAACAATTATGCTAAAAAAGAATACTTTGGTTATTTAATTTTAAATTACAAATTACAATAACAATTATATATCAATATAAACATTTAAACATCATCAGCCTTGTTGAATTGCAAATTATCTCGCTCGTGTTTTTTTTTTACATTTATTTTTTATTTTTTGTTTGCTCATATGATAGATTGATATTTCTGATATATACAGAGTGTTGCAAAATCTTATATCCCTTGAACAGAAAACTTTTTATTTCTGTTTTAATGAAAAATTATTTAATAAAATTTCTTTTTCAATCTTTAATACGATTTTATATTACGATTTTATATTAAAATTTGATATTACTATTCTACATTGTAGCGATATGTTAACTTTGCGATACTCTGTATAATATTATAATTACCAGTAAATTAAATAGACATTATTAATTACAACAGGCTGCAATAAGAATTATTTTGACTTCGATAGACGCACGACTCAATTTACATAAAACGTTACAAAGTACAAAATAATATTAAAAGAAGTTCACAAAATAGGATTATAAATCTTTTCTAATCTATATCGAGTTTTCTAAAACTACCTTCAACACCGAACAATCATTCGCTGATTTGCTCTTGCCAATTCTCTTCGTTTCGTCAACACGTCTGGTTGTTTCGTCCAGCAGAAATCACTTACGATATTTTTCGAGTTTTTTCATTTGCATTTCAGCCAATTCGCGTATTGAACCCGCCTTTCCACTCGATTCGTTCGGCAACTTATCCACTGAGATGTATTTAGAAACGTTCTCTAACGATGAATAAAAATGCATCTGAAAAAATGGAATAAATTCAGAAAAACTTGTTTGAGTACTAATTGTAAGCAGAACAGTAGCACTGAGTATAATTATTTTAAATTAAAATTTTGATGTTACGAGCAATTATATAATATTTGTATAATTCTGGATCTACTTAAATCTATAAAAGTACAATTAAAATGATTTGTGATATTAAAATTATTTAATTGCTACATTACATCGCGTTTGTTGCAAATAGGTATAGATGCATTTTTAAAAAATGCGGGTATTACTAAATAATTACACTTGAAGTTAATTAATTAATTTGTGACACTTACTATGTCTAGCAGTTCTTTTTTTATAAAAGGTTTTATCATGCTTATTAGCAATTCGACGATAAGAGATAGAGAACCCGGCCGCGTATATTTGGCACAAAATACGAAAGATGCGCGCAATTATGGTCCCGCAATTATCTCGTACGCGTCTCGTTATTTAATGAATATGCCTGCTTATTCCTTAGGCAAATTTGCGTGCCGTGTAAGAGTGATGTCCATTTCTAATCTTCCTCCGCACATCGGGTTAAAACTCGCAAAAGAAAAACAGACGATGCTACTCTCGCCGCATTATCCCCTTGCCACCCTCTCCGATCGTGTATGAACCCTTTATTTTTATTTCCGATTGTGTCGAATCTGCAAGGAAAAAAAAGATTTATACTTTGAAATAAAAATAAAGGGTTCATACGCGCATTACAAGGATTACGAAATCTAAGGACAAAGTTAATGGCCGCATCGGGTTTTCTTATTACCACCCCCCCCCTCCTACGCCCTTGGAGGACCTGCTCTCGGTGGTGCTCTCTTCTTCCGAGATGAATAGCTTGAAGAAAGTCGATGAGCGTTTCAAGGTCGTTCGTATCGCCGCCTATTATCCCTTCGCCCTCTTCGACGAAACGGATTTGACACGGCAAAAGAGGCAGTCATATTTCGTGACAAATGTATTTTATTATACGAGATGACAAAAACAAATACAATATTGGCTGTATTTTAATAAGCGCTAGAATTCGCTTACTCTAAATTTTCATACCGTTTCTTGTAAGTGCTAAGTACATGTAAAAAAAGTTTTAGCGCGGAAGTTGATGGAAGTTTTTTGTACAACATGATATGTCAACTAATTTTTATTTTATTTCATAATTGCATAATTTTAAAAATTGAAATCTTCTGGATTGATATTATAATAATATGAGTGGATTATTTGGGACTCATTACTTAGTAGAACATAAGAAAAAATTGTCATTAATTGTTTTAACATTAACATCAAATAATTGATATCTGTATGGAATATTAAATTTACTTA